GGCTAGGGATGCAAGAGTAAGGGAGTCTAATGCAATAGTAATACCTCATTGAGCACGTATAATTTGCTATTGCAATATAAAGAGATCTCAAATGAGATTCTTGTTATTGGAAATTATTTTTCCTTTTTTTAAATTTTTTTTTTTAAGTAGAAACAGACCACGGTTTACAAAAGCATGTTGGAAGGAAAAAAAATTCCAACATGGCATTTCCTTGGCCTAAAAGCAAAAATATGCCACGTGGCCATGCAAAATCTTTTGACGTAGCCACATGACATATTTACTATAATATTTTTGACAATGTTATTGTAATATTATTATATTTTCTATGGAATCTGACAATGTTATAATAATTTTCATTTGTACCTGCTTATTCATATTTTATTATTGCGTTTTATAATATTTACTATAAATATTGAGCTTAATATTTTGACGTGACAACGTGGCATATTTACCATAAAACTATCAATGACAATGTAATATTTCACTAGACAAATATTCACTGAGTATCTTATAGAGAAAATCTAGATAATTGCTAGTTTAAAAAGAGTGTTCGTCTAAAATTTTCATCTTTAATCCAATTATAACATACTATTATACAAAGATTATTTCTCACATATATAAATCCACATTAAATTCTTCACTGAGACAATGTGTGCAAACCTCTCGCCAACTTGACGTCTTCTGACCACTACAATTTAATACCTACAAAAATAAGGAAAGCAGCAGGGTGAGCTACAAATGCTCAGTAAGTAAACCAAATGCTCTTACTTTGTTGTCCCCATTTCTATGGTACTGCTTCTAAATTTCTACTTGCTTTTTCTGTTTATTCTCAGGTATACTACTTAGCAGTCTTTCATTTTTCTCAAATCTTTCTAAATCCTTCTAGGGCTATGATATTCTTTATCATTTTATTTCTCTTCTCGACTAGATTATAACTTTCTGTTTCTTTCTCTACTCAACAAATCACTAAGTTTTCTTGCTATTTGTCATGTTTTTAATTTCTGTTCTTTTCTAGCATGTATCTAATTTCTGTCATTTTTCTTGTGTATCTCTCTAATTTCTATTCTATTCTCGTAGGCTTCTATTTTATTTTCTTCTCTATTCTTATGGGCTTCTATTTTCTTTTTTCTCTATTCTCATGGGTTTTTATTTTCTTTTTTTAGCTAGTCAGACATGCATAAGATGCAATGCACATGAAATGTCTAATGCATATGCAAATGATCATGTTTGTATCCATTTTGAAAGTTCTTTTCTAATTCTTTCTGTTTTCTAATTCTTATTCTATTTTTCCTTCTTTCTGAAATTCTTTCGGTTTTCTGTTTCTTATTCTATTTTTCTTTCTTTTTGAAATTCTTTCGGTTTTCTGTTTCTTATTCTATTTTTCTTTCTTTTTGAAATTATTTTTGTTTTCTGTTCTGGTTTGCCGATCAGACTAGGCTGAGGCATGGATTTGGAACCCTGGCCGTGTGAGCGTATTCTAAAATTCTTTTTGGATACAGTCCTCATCCACATGCACTTCTAGCCAACTGTACAATTTTGTTTTTCTATTCTGAGGCCGCTCACTGATGGCGGCGTACGTGCGGGAAACTTCTGCATCTCTGTTGTCACTAGCTAACGTAGCAAATGCTCACAGGTTCCCCATCGCAACAGAACCCTAAAAACATGCTCTGTAAATCTGCAAAATAACTAGCTAGACATTTCCAATAATTATAAAATTTCTGAAATATATGCTACGCTATGTCATGCATTTATATGCTGTCTATGCATGATCCCAAAATATGTGTCTGACTCTAGCATGTATTCTATTAATTCTAAGGCTTTTATTTCTATACTTTTCTGGAAAGCCCAAAGTTCTATTCTACTAACACGCTTAAATTAAAAATCTTCTATTTTATTCTTTATTTCTCAATTCTATGCATCGTGTGTACGTACGTAATTCTATAATTTCTACATAATTATGTAATCCTTCAATTCTATCATGCTATGTAAAATGTACACGTACAAAAGTATATTAGCTCTCACAAATTGTACTATTCTATAATTATATTAGTGAGATATTAAAATGGCACAATTCAACTAGGGAATGAATTCTACATTTTGGGCAATCTAATTTGCCACAACTTAGGTATTAAGTCTACTAACTTGCCCAATTATACTACTAGTTTTTCTTAAACTTATATGTCACATAACCATGTCAAACTCTCTACTATTTTTCTAATGTAACAAACACGTCTTGTACAACTTTTTAAATACAAATCTTAATACCATAAATTTGCATTCTCTTACATGACCATCAACTTCAATTATTATACATGCCCTTCTTTCTTCTTTTCTTTGCGCTACATTCTATACATTAATCTATATTGCCATATTAATCATTATGAATTCAATCTAACATATGGCACAACATATATACTTTGGCTAAATTCTAATTTCTTTCTAACATTCTTAACTAAACTTTTGGCCAATACAACCTATTCTCAAGATTTTTTAGCACAATTCTATAGCTTGTAATATATAATAAGGCATGAAAACTATACTCATACCAATCAATTTCTAAAATGGTCATGTATTTAATGCAAAACCAAACTTCTATTTCTTTGATGTTTCTTTTGATATCTATACTTGGGAAATATCTATACTTGGGAAAACTTTTCTATTCTTTAAGCAATAAAATCACTTATTGCATATTGTTTGTAATTAATCTCAAAACAAGAAACAACAATATACTCATTTGGCCAAGCCATCTTCTTGCGTCCTGAAAAATTTTCTCTTCTCCTAGCTTTGTTAATCCTAGCGTCATTCGTTTTACCACCCTCACATTTCTGACTAGCCTATTTGTTTCTCATTATCATACTCCATTCTATGCACTGCATGGAGTCTAATTGAACGCTTCTTCAACTGCCTTCTTTACACTCTACCATCATTTCCTACCATCTTCATCACTTGGGTTAACCAAAACCAAGAAAACCTAAAACCAACTCTTGCTACAGTTGAAGATTTTGAAGAAGTTGAAGTAAGAGGTAACCTAATTGAGCATGATCTAAAGCAAATTGGAATTCATAGATAGGCAGCTAGTGTCTCTGTAGAGACATGGTGATGGTTAATTTGCCATGTTGCTATATTGAGAATGTAATTCATGACTTTGCAATTAGTACACGTGGTACAAAGGTTGGAATTGGCCGTTATTTGGACTTACCGTTGTTGTAGTAATTTAGTAAGTTGTGACGGTTATTTGTCAATTAGTTTAATTTTGTTGTGAAGTATTTTCTGTTTCTTTACTTTATTAATGTATCCAATAAAGGTATTGTTGTTGCGTGTCCTGTTTATCATCCAACTCGATTGGACCATGACATAGGACGTCTAGCTGATGAATTCCTAGAGCGGGCTAAGCATTAGAAGCCCATACGTAAAGCCCAAATGTCCTAAATGAGCATGTCCTGTTCAAACGGCTATAACTTTTGATCTAGGAGGAGTTTCGGGGCCTATAAGATATTAATAGAAAGCTCTTTTCGAGCCCGACAATGTGTTTAGTTGGTTAGAGGTCATTTTCGAGATCAAAATCCATCGTTTTGACGTGTTTTAGGGTTATTTTAGTTTTTTGCGCGTTTTTTCCTATTTTATTTTGGGTTTTCATGTTTTAATTAATTTAGATTTTGTTTCCTTTTGTTATTAGGAGTCTTATTAGGATTGGTTGTCACCCTATATAAACTTATTTTTCGTTTTGGATGCTACACAATGAATTATTCAGATTTTATTTCAAATTTTAAGGCTTAAGTTTTTGCGATTGAGACTTGTTATTAGTTTTAAATGTATAGTCTAGTGCTATCCTTGTTGTTATGCTAACTCGCTGTGTCATATCAAGTTTATGGTTACTGAAAGCTATCTTTGTTGTTGGATTTTGATATATTTCATCTTGGTAAAAAAGAAAAAAAATCCTATGTTAACCGTTGGATTACTCCTATCCAAATTAAAACAAAATCTAGAAAATAAAAAAATTGGAACTATGGGCAGTGAAAAAAAATAAGGTAAAAGTGCATAATCTGGTCACTTGTGCCACTGCTAAAACTAGCTTCTCTAGAACACAATTCCAGAGATGATGTCAGATCTAATCCCTTTTCAGAAACTCCGGTTTCTGTCGTTATATTGTCTAAAGAATTTGAAGAGCATCTTCGGGAAGGCCTTGCCCTTCCAACATCTCAAGGAAATTGAAGTATTTGACAGCCCTAAGCTTAAGAAGCTTCCACTAGATTCAAATAGTGCAAAGGAACATAAAATTGTTATCAAGGGACAGAAAGAGTGGTGGAAAGAGTTGCAAGGGGAGGATGAAGCCACTCTAAATGCTTTTCTTCCTTGTTTCAAATCTCTCGGAGGGTTATTAAGGGCACTAATTGAGCTAGGAAAATGAAAGGCTGTGCAACAACCATTGGGCCTACTTTTTCAGAACTGTATTAGAGGTCCATCCCTCCTCCTTTCCCAAGGTTTGATCTAATCTTTTATAATTTTGAAAAATTGGATTATTACTTGTACAAATATTTCGCATTCAAAGGATAAGATTAGTATAATTTATAATGGTGAAGCGAATTTTATAATATTTAACTTTGGCTATGCATTTTCTTTCTTACTTTTAAGTTTTAATTCCTATTTTGGTTTGCCTTGTGAACTTCGATGAAATTCCCATTATAATTCTAATTGTTCATAGAACAGAGTGCAGCAAAATGAATTCTTTAAACTCTGTATAATTCTATCATCTGTTTCTCTTGTTTCATACTCGGTAGTTTAACAACCAGCAGACCTGCTATTGAATGAGTTACAGAAATTTCTCTTCCTTGTGAAAGGTTTGAACTTTCTTATAATTCTATCATCTCTTCAATACTCTGTAGCTTTAGTTTACATGATGAACTTTAAATTTCTTATTAATTTGGAAAAATAATTGATTTTTTATTGGACAGAGAAAGGAAGTATTGAACTACTACTTTTAAAACAAGACTTGCAGCTGAGAAGAAGCTAACTAAAAAACCCAATCAGGCAAGTAAAAGTGCAAAATCTGGTCACTTGTGTTGTGCCACAGCTAAAACTAGCTCCTCTGGAACACAATCCCATTTTGAATATCAAACTTGGTGGTGTAGTATAAATAGCTCCTCTGGAATAATTGATGGTTTATTGGGCACAGAAAGGAAGAATTGAATTAGTTCCTTACAAAATCTTTACAACACAGACTTTAGAGTACATGCTGTCAAGATTAATCTGACTACTGATGGTAAAGCAGAATGTATCACTAAAGTTGATCCAGGAGGTTGGAATCCTTGACCTTCAAAAGGCTGCATGCATTGTCTTCTGTAGCACTCACATAAAAATGCAAATACTGTCCAAAAGCTGTATCAAGCTTTGCCTCTCGGCGGTTAAATGTGATACAACATGCATTCCTCTTATCAAGCTGATCATTTTGAATGGCCTCGTTTTGAACGTCCATTGAAAGAAAGGCTACTAGTTGTACTATTAAACAAAGGAAATTAACAGAACATGTAAGTAATCAATCAATAACCATTCTAAATTAAACTGCAGAACACAATTAAGTATATTAACCTTCCACAGGTTTGCACCACAAAGTAGAGCTTCTAATGCCACATTCAACAGCATTTTGCAGTGCCTTATAAATTCACGATTGTTATTGATCTATCTGCAATAATTCAATAAACATAGTTTTCAAATCAGATGTTTGAAGTCCGCGGATTCATGGTAATATGCAAGAAGATAATAAAGTATATTCTATATGACATAAAAACATAAAATCTATTTAATATTCTTCCAATAATCTATCCATTCCAGAACAAAGGATCTAACATGTCTTTCTGCAAATTTTAAATGTAGTATATTTTTTATGTGAGAAGAAGATTCAAATTCTTTGTTCTCCGTAACATAAAAACATAAAGTACATTCTATATGTCAAGAAACTAGTTAGCACTTAGATATCAGTGATGCGGATTTCACATCCAACAATCTGACGCTAGAAATAAATTTATTTCAGATGTGCGAAGGACAAGGCCTTCAAAATAGATGCTCTTCACATTTTAATGAAATAACAAATACTTCAAAACAACAGAGATATTTGTTCTGGGTTTTCAATCTAACCAATCTTCAAGTAATTTTTGAAAAGTCTTTAAAGAAATCCTAAATAGCAGTTGGGGTTAGATTTAATATTGGAAGTAATTAATTAATAATCTAAAGATATCTCAATGAGTCTGTGATGCTCATATAAATAATTATTTTTTTAATTAGATAAAATTTTAAAGAATTTTTCAAGCAATCTTGACAACACTACAAGCTACATTCAGTAATCAACAATTTTTGAAACAAATATAGATAAAATTGCATACCAGAAAGAAACAAGGAAGAAAAGCATTCAGAGTGGCTTCATCCTCCCATTGCAAATTTTTCCACCACTTTTCCTCTCCCTTGATAACAATTTTATGTTCCTTTGCACTATTGGCATCCAATGGAAGCTTCATAAGCATTGGGCAGTAAAATACATAAATTTCCTTGAGATGTGGGAAGGGCAAGGCCTTCGCAAAGATGCTCTTCAAATTCTTCAAACAATTTAACACAAGAAATTGGAGTTTCTGAAAAGGGATTAGATCTGACATCATCCCTGGAACTTCACCCAATTTTTCAACATTGATGATTTCTTTCATCGCATCACAACTGTCTATAGAAAGAAACTTGAGGTTTGGAATAAAAGCAATCCATGTCAAATCCCTCAAACAGTTGCAATTTGATAGTCTTATATCGTGAAGATTGTAGAAACTAGATGGTTCCCGTATTTTTTGTACATTCCCTACCTTCACCATATCAGAGCCGTCCCATTCACTAATTTCTAGTTGAAAAAGATGCTTGAGAGTTGCAAGAGCTGCAATATTGAACGACGTTGACTCATAAAAACCGTTAAGGAATAGAGATTGAGTACAACTCTGTAACTTAACGGAGCTCAAAAGTCTTTGGAGAGCATTGTAACTTCGCAAGGTGATGGACAGCACATTTAAATATTCCAAACAATCACATTCCTCCACCAACACTTCACCACCACCATCAAATAAAACACTATCCTTTATTCTAAATTTAGCACTGGTACCACATTTGTTCATTCTCAATGTACGTAAACTTTGAAGATTAGATATCAATTGACGCGGAATTGTTTGTAGCCAGCTCGTACTCTCCAAGCTCAAACATTTAAGATTTTTTAAGGCTTTTAGTTCAACCGGCAGCACTATTATAGGAGTACGTGATAGATTAAGATATTGTAATGAAACCAATTTTGATACTCCAACCGGTACTTTAGAAAGCCCAAAACTAAGTGACAGATCCAAAACTTTAAGAGAAGGCATAAAGTCAAAGAAGTTATCACAGACAGATCCTAACGTACCTATATTGAGAAACAAAGTTTGGAGATCATGGCATGTAGGTGTTTGTGACAAAGCCAAAGTACCATTGCCTATTAATGATATTTTTCTTACTCCAACCCATTTTCCAATCACTGGTGCTTGAGTTAATCCAGTGGCTGCTTCAACTAAATAATTTTCTTTTTCCTTCTCAATATCATTAGCTATCCATAAAAGCATGTCACGTATCACATCATGCAATTTTACAAAGTAATCTCCTTTGTCATCTTCCTTATCTTTTTCTTCTTCCAATAAACATGCATGAACAAGGATACCAATATTATAATATCCCTCGTCATATACTTCACTTCTATTGGAGTCATCCAAAAAACCCTCACCTATCCAACAGTCTATCAATTGCTGTTTACTAATCGGAAAATCTTCTGGATATAAACAACAATATAAAAGACAAGATCTAATTTTGTCACTAGGCAAACTATCATAACTGAACTTTAAAAGAGGATACACTTCTGTCCCCATACCTGCAAATTGAGATGCTGAGTTCCTTAACAAATTTGCTGCATGCCTCCATTCTTGAGGTGTGTTCTTGCAAGACATGGCTCGACTAACAGTTAATAGCGCAAGGGGTAGTCCGCCACACTCTTTGGCTACAACTTTTGCTAATTGAGGAATATCAGGATGGTCCAAAACTTCACTTTGTAGATTCTCCTCAAACAATTTCCAAGCTTCCTCATCTCTCAAATACTCCACTTTGAAATGCTTGTCAGCTTTCATGGAGCCGCAAACTTCAAAAGACCGAGTTGTGAACACTACTTTCGATACAGATTTTGAGTTTGGAATAGGGACACCCACGTCAGTTAAATTAATCCGGCTCCATATATCATCCAGAAATAAAACAAACTTCTTGCTACTTAATATCTTGAAGATATCCCCAGCTTTCTTTTGAAGACTTCTTGTCTTCCAAGATTCCCCCTTTAAACCTATCTTTTCCCCAATGTCTTCTTGAATCTTTTCAAAATCTGGAACTCTAGATACCACCACCCAAATAACAACATCAAAACTTTGAAGCTCATTGCAGAACTTATTGTTGATTTGTTTTAGTAAGGTTGTTTTGCCAATTCCCCCGGTGCCGTATATGCCAATGATTCCCACTTCTTCTCCAACGAGGCATTTCCAAACTTTATCAAATGTGGATTCCAATCCGAGTATTGTTGATTCAAGAGGAATTTCATCTGCAACATCATCTGGTACCCTCTCAGCTACCTGTTGGAAAGCAGCTCCCTCACGCCTTAGATCAGCCACATCTTTCAGCTTTTCAGCCACTTGTTTTCCATACTCATAGCTTGACTTGCAGTTCTTGGAACAGTAGCCTCCAAGACATAATTTGTCAGTTTGTTGAGATTTGAGTTGAAGTAGTTCATCAACTTCGGCTTCTGCATCTTGCACCTCTTGAAGCCAACCTTGAACACGGTCCATCCGTTTCATCTGGTTTTGTTCATCAACGCGAACCCTCCTCGTAACATCATTTTTGGTTTGAATTAATTGTTGCAATTCAGTCTCCAAGGCTTTGAGATTATCTTTGAGTTCGCGAACGTGTTTTGCCCTTCTTATAGTGCAATCTAAAAAACGAGAAAGAACAGGATCAAATGAAGATGAGACTGAGACTGAGAAAACGCTACCCATAGTTTGTGAGAAGATGTAGTTCAATGAAGAGAGATAGAGAAGTGATCAGTTTAATGAAAATAATTTTTCAAAACAACGTCTTAAATCCTTTTAAAATCTTTCTCTTACTGTTTTAAATCAATAAATTCAGTTGACTTAATTTTATTTTAAAATTTCTTAAAAGCCTTTTAAAGCCTTTATTTACCATAAACAATAGCTTTACTCAAATTATTTTACTTGAAATATTTTTCTAAAACTAAGATAAATGCTTTTATGATTATAATCCCCTTTTTTTATTAAATTTTATTCAATAAAAATGTTTTTATCTCATCAAATTTTTTATTTTATCACTTTGTATATCTTATTTTATGTTTATATTAATGAGAGATAATCATATTAAAGAAAGATAATTAGGAAACTAATGAAGTCTAAAATATGCCGCTGGAAAAATATTTAATAAAATAAATGGACTTTCAATGAGATAAATTCTCATTAAAGTAAAGCGAATTAGATTAAATAAAAGAGTAATTCATTTTGGATGATAAAGGGCCGAGATTCATTTAACGAAATAGTAAACAAAAGAGATTAATAATTTGATAAATTTAAATGCTTTTATCAAGAAAATAGTACGATGAATATGTCTAATATATTATAAATAAATCAATAAAAGAGATAAAAAGGTATAAATTATGAACTATATAATGTTAATCCAAGAATAAAATATAAAATTAATTTATTTTCAGCATTAATGATAATAATTGAATATAAATGCATTATTATTGATAAATAATATTGGAACATTATCTACCATTTAAAATATTTTTTACAGAAATGACTTGTTTTAAACTTGGCAAACAGTTAACAAAAGGTCATAATAGGTATTTCCATGTTAAAATATTAAATAATAAACATTTTCAATAAATAGGAAAAATAATTTTCTTTCTTCTTCTCAATGTCATGGGGTAGGCAACAGTGACTCTTGCTAATAAGTTCAAAATTTTCACATTTAAAATAAAGATCTGTCCCAAGACTATACGAAATATCCTAAGCTTAAAACACTGCTTGTCTAAATAAATTACAAATTCAAATTCATTAACGAACGGAGCCTAATTAGTATGGTTCATTTGACTCTAATTTAATTAAGAAATTATAAACATAAGTTGTAGTTTATACTATGTCAGAGAACGGATTTCATATACAAACTTACTCAAATAAATTGACATATTTTAAGATGGCTGAGAGACTTAAAATTTAAAGTAAATTAAAAGTAGATTAAATGAACCAACATTAATAGACTTTCCTCTCAATAATCCATTAAATAGAGAAAAGTGTAAAAAAAATGATTTTAATCTTATCTTAATTTATTAAAAATATATTTGAAAGTGAAATAAATTGTTTAGATCTAAAATATCCTACTATATATGTATAAAGTGGAGAAGCTAGGAATTATGGGGAAGAAGGGCGCACTTAAAAAATATTAAAGGCGGCGTTTGAAACACTATTTTTACTCTATCTTATCTTACTATCCTATCAATCAATTCAAAATACAATCATATTCTATTAAACTCAAAACATTAACAATTATCTTTCTCAATAAAAGTTTTAAAATTAACAAAAACACCCCCACCCACCTAAGCCACTATCACCTGCTAGCAGCCATTGCCATTAGTTGTTGTCACTATCACTGTCGTCACCGTAACAACGCACGACCAGTTAGATCTAGCTGATCGTGCGCCAATCTGTCTGTTTCCGGCCAAAGATCTGGTCGTTTTCGGTCAGATCGGCACACGACTGGCCAGATCCAATGGATCGCGCACCATTCTGGCAACTTTCAACCACCGTCCGGTGGTGGTGGCTGGCTGTCGACAATAGTTGGGTGGATGAAAGTGTTTTTGTTAATTTATAAACTTTTATTGTAGAGGGTTTTTAGTTAAATTAACAAATATAGGAGGTTAAAAATATCTAAATATTTTTTAAAATATATTCTCAAAATCTTATCGTATTTGATTAAATAGTATTCTACTATTGTAAAAAGTAAAACAAAATATGGAAGAGGAAGTGTGAAAATAATTAGATAAAAGTCTATGGCTTAGCTTTCTTCTAAATAAATTAAAAAATTTATAGATAATAACAAAGACCCTTATTATTATTACTACGTGTTGATGCCCACTTTTGTCAAGGAGACCCAACAAGGCCCAATACCATTTTGGGTTCAAAGCAAGGTATATTGGACTTCATATAAAGGTTTGTTTTATTAACCCATCCCTGAAGATCAACGGACCCAAACCATATTAAGGAGCACTTTTTGTGGGTTCTGGTGTGGTAGGGCAAAGCGTTTAATAAGACTTTAAATTAGACCCATGTGGGAGGATTCTAATTGGATAACTTGGACTTAGTAAGCAACAAAAGTTATTTTAAAAGCCCAAGTCCAAATTGTTTTCAAATTAATTTTTAAAATTATGAAAAAATTCCCAAAATAGCATTGTGTAAAATTGCATATTTTATTTATTAAAAAACACGAATTTACAAAAATACCATTATTTTGATATTGTCTTTTGAGTTGACTTTTTCATAAAATTTGTTTTCATTGATTTTATATTTTTTAAGCTCTTGCAAAATTAGAAAATGCTCCTGTTTAAGTTTTCGTAATTTTCTGATCTGTATTTGATTTTATAAAATTATCTCTCCTGGAAACTTATTTTTTAACCTTTGAGATTTTTGTTTTATTTTAATTCTTTTCAAAACAACGTCTTAATCCATTTAAAATCTTTCTCTTACTGTTTTAAATTAATAAATTTAATTGACATAATTTTATTTTAATCTTTATTCATTTTAAAATTACTTTAAAGCCTTTAGTTACCATAAACTATAGTTTTACTCAAATTATTTTCAATAATACTATACTTACAAAAAACCCTTACAAAGATTTTCATACAAAGTGGGGTGAAAAAAAATGAATTAAAGAGTGAAACAAAAATTCAAACTCATTATATTCACTCTTTCATTAATTTTTTGTCACATCACTTTGTATGTAGATCCTTTGAAAATGTATTTTAAGTTAAGTTGAGTTGAATTAAATTAGATTGGATCAAATTCTGAAAATGTGCTTGGTAAAATATTTGAAAAATATATCAGAGCTTAATAAAATGTTGAATAACTGTTTGATACATTTTTTGAAAAAGGTTTTTAAGACAGAACAATTGTTTGGTACATTTTCTGAAAATATTTAGATTATTTTTTTAATCTCCTATATTTGTTAATTTAGATAAACACCACCACAATAAAATTTTTAAAATTAACTAAAGCACCCAGCCACCCAAGAGACCAGCCGGCCACCACCATCGAACAGTAGTCATTGGAACGACGCACGATCGACTGGATCTGGCCAGTCATGCACTGATACTCTTTTCTAAAATCTAGGATAAATGCTTTTATGATTATATTAATTTATTGATTTATTTTAGATTCATCCCCTTTTTTTATTAAATTTTATTCTATTAAAATGTTTTTATCTTATCCATACTTTATTTTATCCTTCTATATATCCTATTTTATGTTTCTATTAATGAGAGATAATTATATTAAAGAAAGATAATTAGGATAAAATTGTGATAATCAATGAAGTAGATTTATCTAATCATTTGAAAATAATAAAGGAAACTAATGAAGTCTAAAATATGCTACAAAAATATTTAATAAAATAAAAGGACTTTCGATGGGATAAATTCTCATTAAAGTAAAGCTAATTAGATTAAACAAAAGAGTAAGTTCATTTTGATGACAAAGGGACTAGATTCATTTAAGGAAATAGTAAACAATTAAACATCAATGATTGGATAAATTTAAACCCTCTTATAAAGAAAATAGTATGATAACTATCTCTAATATATTATAAATAAATCAATAAAAGAAATAAAATTTATAAATTATGAATTATATAATGATAAACCAAAATTTAAATATAATATTAATTTAATTTAAGGCATTAATTATATTAATTGAAGATAAATGCATTATTATTGATAAATAATATTTAAACATTATCTACCATTTAAAAGAATTGGTAAAATAAAAAATATTTACAGAAAATGGAACTTTCAACTAAATCCTTATTTGAAAAACTTATATCATGGAAAGAAAGATTAGATTGAAGATTATTGCGAATGTTTAAGGAATTGTATTTGGTTGGAATAAATTTGTAAGTATATTATTACTGAATTGTCTTCTAATTAAATATTTTATTTTATTTTATTATAACCCTCCTACATTTAACAACTTAGCAAAAACAACCCCATAATAAAAGTTTGGAAAATCAACAATGCACCCAGCCAACCTAGCCACTACTGGCAACCTAATGGTGTACGGGCAACCAAAAATGGCCTCCGTGCTTTGATATGGGCATTTCCAGCCAAATCTGTGGTCGTTAACGGCTGTCGATCTGGCTATTTTATAGTCAGATTGGCTCACGGCGGTCATTTTTGGCCGTCCGTGCACCGTTTCGGTGATGGCTGGCCGCCAACAGTAGTTGTCGAGGGCAAGTGGGTAGGGGTGGTGGCTTGGGTGGACTACAATTTGTTTTGAATTCAAGAGTAATTTTGTCCAAAAAGTTAATTAATTGGAGTGAAATAGTAAAAGTCATATTCATGTAAATTAATTTAAAAACAAGGGTATTATTATCCTAAAATTTTATTAATAAGAGATATAATTGTAACAAAAATAAGATTACCTTGATAATCTTACAATACCTAAGAAAATTAAGATAATTAGATTACCTACTATATTACCAATAGTAACTACTATTAGTATTGGAAGATTACCGAAATCTTATATTACTTAACAACCAAATTTGGTAATCAAATAATAGAAGATGACATTACTTCAGCAATCTCACTTATCCTCCAACCAAACACACCTATAAGACCGCGCAGTTTTAAAATGACTTGTTTTAAACTTGGCAAACACTTAACTAAAGGTCAAAATAGGTATTTCTATGTTAAAATATTAAATAATAAACATTTTTA